GTGATTAGACTGAAACCAGATTTTATCGCTGTAAGTATTTTTTCTTTAGATCGAAAAATATGTCTAATTTTTAAATCAGATAAACTTTCAGTTAATGAATATAGTTTTATTAAGCAAACTTTTATTAAAGGCTCGCATCGAAAGAGGAAATGTACTGTTGAAGCAAGGCGATATACATCAGGCAAAGGCCGATTTCGAGGCTGCTGTAGGATTTTAGCTTTCGTTTGTGCTGGTTTTGTGATTTGAAACGCATTCTTATTCAAAAATTTGTAACTTCAGTAACTGTTTGCCATCAGCCAGGTTCCAACAGGATATGTCTTATATCTTAAATATATTTATAGGCAAAAGCAGATCCTTCAAATGCAGATGTGTCGAAAAAGTTGTCATCAGTTGAAGAAGTAAGGCAAATCATTGAGGAAGCTGATGATTATTTTGATGTCGGTGACCTCGCTTCCGCAGAGCCACTTTATAGTAGTGCCATAAAAGTAATTCTTCGTCTTTATTTGGCTGTAAAAGTTTTGAGGTTGTTCAGATTCTGATTTGATAATTATGCTTTTAAACCACTTTTACCTTTCAAGTTTGTTTGTTTGAATATTTACATTTTACGGCAGTATGAAGATGTATGATGTAAACATTCTAGATGAGATCCAGAAATTATAAGTCGAGAAAACCTTGTGCCGCCCAATCTATAATATTTCTAGAATTTTTTTCAAGTAATATAAATGCAACATTTTATTGACGTGATTTGTTCTGTAAGGCCGAGACTATATTAAAACTGGCAACACCGGTTCTCATGAAATTTATTTTTTTTAAGTGATTGGTTCATATTTAACCTGAAATACAGAAATTAGAGCAAGTTAAGGTCTTTTCAGCTCTATGTCATTTGCTATTTGGTTAATTTTTATTGTAGAGAAATAGACTTTCAACAACATGTACAGAACAGATTTATGTTACCTGAATTAATTGATGCAGCGGAAGATAGAATAGTATTCGAAGATCTAGAAAACAACAAAATATTTCGTGCTTGATCTGATGATTACTGCTATTTTGTGTATTGTGAAATCATGAGATAATCCGAAGAAAAAAATCAGGTTTGTCAGTGGTATGCGGATTTATACAAAAATCGTGCAAAATGTCGAGAAAAACTCGGAGATGTGCAAAAGGCAATTGCAGATTATAGAACTGTTACGAAGTTATTGCCGGACAGCACGGAGACATTCTACAAAATCTCACAGCTTTATTATTTAACGGGCGATGTTGAAGAATCGTTAAAGTAATGCTTCTTTCAATATATTTGCATTTTTCAAGTCTTTAAGCTATACGAATTTCAGATATTTTACTTAGCATACACTACTTTGAATTGGACTTTGAAAAAAAGTATATACTATTTTGAACGGTGAGGAGCTGTGATACATTACATTGTATTGTCTAAATTTTTATTTTGTTTCAGTAAAGTTATCACCATTTTAATTTTAAGATGGTAATTTTTTTGTAACTACAGTTGTTATTGCAGAAAAAGAGAATAGTTTGATATAGTATCCATACCGCGGAAGTTCCATATTAGAAGCAAAATAGTATTTTTGATTAAAAGATACCAACTTAGGAGAAAGGTAGCATATAATCAGGAAGACTGTTTCAGCCAAGTACGGGAATGTTTGAAATTGAATCCAGATGACGAGCTGTGTTTTCCTTTTTATAAAAAAGCAAAGAAACTTGCAAAAATGCGTGAGTCACTTAATCAGCTAGTGCGAGAAGAACGATGGATGGATTGTTTAGACAAAGCGACGCAAATTTTGAAAACTGAGAAAAAAGTGGAAAATATCCAACTAGATGTTTATAGGCAAACGTGCAAATGTAATCTAAATGTAAGTTGCTTCGATACTCTTAACTGATTAGATTTTCGATCAGTAAACTGGTTTCGAAAGACCATGAAAGTAGAAAAGAATTATCTCTCCCAGCACACAACTTTAATGATTGAGCAGGCAAGTAACTCTATATAATAGCGGCAACTCAAGTGGTAATTTGGAATCGTTCTTTTTTTCTTTTTGTTTCTTGCTCATTGCTTCTTTTGCTACCTTAACTTTCACATTGATATTTAGAGTTACTATACATAGGTGAAATGCAATATAGGGAATTGTAGTTGGGGGCTAGTGATCGATAGTTAGTTGTAAGACTTCTATTTCAACGAAAATGTAGGTTTTTCACTCGAGGAAGCCTTTCGCTGTGCGATTGGCTCCTAGTTGACAAGTTTTTCAGGAACTCGTGTTTAGGCTGGGCATTTTGCTGAGTCGATAGCGGCTTGTTCAGAAGTGCTCAAAGTTGGTGATCCAAATGATGTCGATGTACTTTGCGATAGAGCAGAAGCATTTTTAATGTTTGAAAAGTATGATGAAGGTGTGTGCAAAAAATATACAAAGTTATTTATGTTTGTATTTTGAGGCAAGTGCTTAAATTTGAAAACTCGTGTAAAATGAGTAGACTATTTTTCAGCAATTGAAGATTATCAGAAAGCACTAAGTGGGCATGAAGAATCGCGACGAGCTAGAGAAGGCCTTCATAGAGCGCAGAAACTAAAAAAACAGGTTGGAAGGAGAGATTACTACAAAATCCTTGGCATCAGAAAGTAAGGCATTTTTCATGCTTACAAAAGTTAAGTTTACTAGATAATAACTTTTTTCCATCTTTTTTAGGGATGAATTTTGACTTAAAAATATTTTCACTTTCAATCCTGTTGAGAAGCTGAACTTCCAGAATGTTTGATTTGATAACAATTTTATTTGTTCCTAGTGATTATGACTTGCACTGCTGAAAGAACTCAAGACAATACCTAAAGTCCAGGAATTTCAAGATCATTTTGGATGAACGCAAGTTCGCTCAGATTTAGTCGAATTTTCAAGAAATTTATTTAGAAATGCCAATAAAATGGACATTATCAAAGCGTATCGGAAGAAAGCACGAAAATGGCATCCAGATAATTTCAGTGACGAAAAGCAGAAAAAAATAGCGGAGAAGAATTTTATTGACATTGCAGCTGCGAAAGAGGTTCTTCTTTTTCTTTTCTGACCTTTTATACTAAAGTGATATCCTCAAATACTGACTTAAACCTTACTGTCTCAGATGTTATGACGGCACTTCAAAGGACCAATTTGCAGGTACTCACTGATCCAGAAAAAAGAGCACAATTTGACAGAGGAGAAGATCCGCTGGATCCAGAGCAACAGCAACAAGGAGATTTCCATCATCCTTTCCAGAGCGGATTTTCGTTTGGTGAAAATAGTGGCCCATTTTCATTCCAATTTCACTTTGGTTAAACCTTTCTTTTTCTTTTTTTCTCTTGGAGTAATTTATTTGCTTCTTCACAAAGTTGGGTATATATGGATTATTTCAGCAATTTTTTTTTTTTTTTTTCACAACGCAAGCCTTAGGTAAACTGTCCTGTTGTAGAATTTGGGCAACACATCTCTCTTTGGTGGAATTAGAGTACTCGCTTGCCACACTTTGCTAACGCTCATGTTCAAACCTCATCTAATCTACTTGGACATGTAATTCCTCCTACACATAAGCTTGCATAACATCTATGTAAAAAAACCGTCTTGCATTCTAGTCATCAGAAATGAATCTTTGGTGTGCCCCTAGAAATATGCTTACAGCGAAATTATGGTTATTTGGCATCGCTACAGTTTTCTTGGTAAACGTGAAAGGGTTGATATCACTTGTAAACTTGACAGTGAACATTTTCAATACTTCTGGACTGATAATGAAATACTAGCCTAATTTTTACCATCTCATATTGCTATGCATGTATATATGAGTTTTGCTTAATAAATCATCGAATGCAATATTTCCATCCAAAGAAAAATGTAAAATTTGGATACTTCTTTATGTTTTGGAGGTTAAGGCTGGAGGCCTAGTACCAAACCGTTCAAAGAACTGGCTTTGGAAATGTTCGTACTGGATGAACACCAATTATAGTTATGCGAAAAGTGAAGCAGTAGGCCTCATCAAGTGCGTGACATACGTGCGAAAGCCAGTTTTTGTTTTTGAAAGCCAGTTTTTGAGGTCCAAATCTCTTTCAGAGATTAATGTCTTATTAGATCTTCCTCTTCAATAAAATTTCCGATGAATTTAGCATTTCCCCAGAAACACAATAGAACACCGTATGTGAAGTTCTTACTAGGCATGAGATACGGTAACAGGTACTTGTAAGGTAACATAGAGGACCAGAAACAAAACTGTTGCACCTGAAGGGTCTACATCGTTTACACTAAAATAAAATGAAAAAAACATAAGCATATGCTTTGGGAAACATTACGGTATAAATCAATGCAAATATTCGACTAGTTAAATAGGATATTTTTAAGCGCGAAAGGAATACGGCAGTAGATAACAATGTATATAAAAGAGAAACGTTAATTCAGTTTGTATGCCCATAATCAAGATTTAGGAATGTCTTCATTATATCTTGTTTTTCCCTTAAAAATATGGACGCTTCCATAGATCTCGTCTGGAAGAGGAAAACTAAAATTTTGAAAAGTAGCACCTTTTTTAAAGTTTTGTTCGTGAGACAACACGAACAAGTACAACAAAAACATCAGTAATCATTATCAGGGTGGATTGTTTTGGCTTATCGTTATGAAACCGTAAACTTGGATCTCGAAAGTATCAGAGACATTGTCAGTTTCCTAGCTTACTTACACTGCTTTTTGAACCGTTTTTAAATGACCAGCTGACTGGGTATCAATCTTCCTATCTGACAATGTAAAGGAATCCTATATACCAAATTATATCCTTCCTGATCAAATATTGGTTACATTCCAGATAGAGATCAACTAGTGAAGTAATAAAACTCCCTTGTGAAATTAATATCAGTTACTAGTATATGAATCAATAAACAATATGTTGAGCAGCTAGAACTGTCGAATTTAAATTTTCAATTCTCGAGAGTTAAACGAAAGCTTTTTTTAGATTCACTGAATGAGATAATGGTTGCCATGTGTCTGTTAGGTGTCGTAAAAATGGAGACATCTCTGCATGGCTGCTTCCCACTTTTTAAAATCGTGCAGTAATCTCTTGCGAATGGAAAAATCTGGAACAAAAGTCTTTTCAATATCAATCAGATCATCCAAGTCATCCTTCTTCCACAAACCACATGTGATTCCTGCCATCATAGCAACACCACATGCGGAGGCAAAACTTGGACTGGTGATTCTTTGTAACGGAAGTCTGATTAGAGTACTAATTGTTTGACAAATAAAATCATTCATCGATACACCACCACAACATCTACAAAACAACCTTCAATCACTCAACTATAAAAAATTAAATTTATGTTATATATCAGTTAAACCGACAATCTCGGTCTATAAAAAGTTCAGAACTGAAGAAATTGAAACAAATGATGAAAGTTGAATAATTTGTATGATGATGGGAAGACATACCTAACAAATTCCGTAGAGCAAGTGCCGATTTCGTCGTTAACCGTTTTCCATATTTGATAGATTCGAAATGCAATAGACTCAAGCATTGCGCGGACCATCTGCTCTTTAGTAGTGTCTGGACGAATGCCCAAGAAACCACAGCATGCAGTATCGTCATTTAGTGGAGTCTGGATACCAAAGAACGCGGGAATAAAGTACAAGCCTGCAAATAAACCAATGCCGCTTAATCCCTTACACTTTTTAGTTCTGCTTTAACAGTTACTGATTTGAAATGGGAATTTGTATAATACTAATGTTTAATCCGTAGCATGCACCTTGTGTCGCGAAACTCGAAATAAATCTCGCGAACCTCCATATAACTTATAAAATATATTTAATAAAATTGTGTTAATCCATAATATTGAAATCCGTCTTAATTGATTCCAACACTCATCTTCCCATTGTAGCTGAGATTATCTACTTGTCTAGAAACTTTTAACTGTTAACAAAGGATGTGTGCATTGTTTAATATGTTAAAAATTATTCCTTTGTTTCAAACCAAATTTGCTTGCAATATCGTAAAGGTTTTCTAATCTAATAGTCATTCTTACGAGAAATCAACAATATTAAAACTCATCTCCTACTACATAAGGGTAAAGATCATCTGGTAGCTCTTTAAATCATACCCTGTTGCAAGTCCATGCCCACTATATGAGGATTTGTCTTCGTCAGTTTTCTTGTACCAGCAAGTTACAGTTCGGCTAGTCTTCTTATTTAATTTATTCATTTAAATCCTTTAAGGTCCCCATCAATTTATTCATTCTCTTCATCTTATTCGTAGATACTCTACAAAATTACCAGTGTATTGTTGTTATAGATTAATACCTATGTATTGCGGTTGCTAGTGAATAAAATCGTTACAGCAGATCTTTTAATCAATGTTTATAGCAACTACAACAACAATCAAGGAAGGCACTTGAATATACGAAAGATCCAATTCGACTCTAAGCTACAAGTATCAGATAGTCCCAAGTTTCACTACATCTTGTTTTATGTTAAACACTACCGGTTAGTTTCAATCTAGTTCATAACAAAGCATATGCTATCAACAAATGTGATGGCTGAAGATGTAGTCCTAAACAGTGTCATTTTTTAAAGTAAAATAAAAAATATAGTTTTTACCAGAAATCGAGCAACTTTGAGCCATTCGTGAAGTAACTGTGATATCTTCAAATAAGCCGATAGATTCTGCCCAACGCAAAATTATTGCAGTATCCTGAGAGCATCCTTCCGCAACAAATTTCACTGAATTCGGAAATTTCCACCCGACCAAGGGGTATAAACCTTCAATAGCTAATAAGTAATTCAACACAATAAAAAAGAAAAAAATGAAAAAAAGAATATAAATAAATGAAGCACCTTTAAGAGAAGAGTGAGGTGATGCGCCAGTATTGACGTCGACAAAGGATCCAGTACCAAGTGAAACTACAATATTATTTTCTATCCAACAACCACAAGCAAATAGAGCACTTTGCTGATCACCTGCCTTGCATAAGATATACTATTATTTCATCATTATAATATCATTCAGCATATTTTTTTGTGACCAATCAATCCAGTTTTATTAACTTACAAGATTTAAAATTATTTAGTAATGGAAACGTATTTATTAGTGAATCTTAATTGCCTTTGAACAAAATCACTCTATCTAGCAAAATGGAGAATAACTACAAGCGACTTATCAACATTAATGTAAATATAAGATAGAAAATAATGAATATCGCTAAAGTATATGTAGAAAAAGTCACACTATGTGGCAAAAAGTGAACCTAAATACGCAGAATATTAATGTTTTAAAAAAAAGGACGACGAAGATGTCAGCGGTATGTGGAACAGCAGTTTTATGTGACAGAGAAATTTTCTGTAAAGAAAATTGTGTTATAAGATCAAATTAACAACATAAAATGAAAAAAAAAAAAAAAGAAAAAAGCAAGCACAAAGTTGTTACAAATGAAAAGAAAGGTTACTTACGGCAGCAGCTACAATAATCGGAGCGCCAAATAACTTCTTATCGGTAACAGCAAGCGTCACTCCAGCAGAAAACGAAAGACGTGGAAGAACTGATGTAGGAAAGGAAAGGAATTGCAATAAGCTGTAGCCCCACTCCATCTGAAGTGTAAACCTGTTACAGCTGATAATAAAATCAATATTATTTTCATTACCTGCAGCAGGTTGGCTCACCCTCAACTTAACAGCATAATAAAGAAAGAGTGAATTATTACAAGTCTATTTTTGGTTCTTTTAAGGATATACTTCGCAACCACACGAAGTAAATATTTCGTGTGATACAGAAATTACAACAAAGAAAATTGTATTACACAGTTAAATCAATAATATAAAATGAAAAGTAAAACAAGCAAGTAGAGAGTTTATGAAATGAATAAAAAAAATGCACCGTGTAAGGATCAAACAATCCTGTACTACTTGCGTTAGAAGGTTCACTAACACAAACGACACCACCAGAAAGTTTGTATATTAACCAAGTATCGAGACAACCAAAGGCTAGTTTTCCTTGCTTAAGCAGTCGTTGCATTTCCGCATTCTAAAGAATTATAGTAATAACCAAGTTAAACGCTTATGCAATGATATGGAAATTTACAAACATCACTACTCAAAATTTACTAACTTCAGCAAGAGTGACTAAAAAACGATGAGTCACCATCGCATTTAAAAAGGAGAATATTCGAGCAGCCATACATCTTGCAGACCGCGTTAGTTTGTGCAAGATATAACCAATTAAATTTATCGCCTGTAATACAAATGTAAAACAAGAAAAGTTTAATCATAATTTTTGCTGGATGGTAGAATTTATAGCGCTATATTATATAATGTTTGCAGTTTAATAAATTCACTTGTATAATTCATTACCACATATTCCACTAAGTCTAGAATGTTTGAAATAAAAAGCTTAATATTAAAAATGAAATAAATACTTTTATAGACCACGAATTGTTCCACTTCTTACATTCCTCCCGTGCACGACAATCTTTCCAAGTAACTAGTCGATGACAGGGTTTTCCGTTTTCCCTGAAGCTGTGGAAATGAACCTCTCACTTCAAAAAAGTAAAATTTATTTATAAAACTTACTTATTCCAACAAATGAATGTATTCCTTTGGCAGCTAATTCCCATACCAACTACTGCTCGTGCATCACGGTTTGTCTTATTCACTGCAATCAAGTATTTTTAATAACGTTTAAAAAACTACCCCATTGTTGTTTTTATCGATATTGCCCTATCCTCTTTTGTGGATAGATATCCTGCATGTGTTTTATAGGAATAAAAAATTAACGATGAAATAAAGTGATAATTGATAAGATGATGAAGTAATTAACACAGTAATGTATCTGGATAATAATAGTAAACATACAAGATTAATTGATAAGACAAATATAAATTGTTTAATAAAGAAGTTTAAAAAACGTTATTCTTTGATGCCAAGAAACTTCATTCATTTTTCATATTTCGCCTAACATTGAGCGCTTGATAATTTGTCCCAATAAATAATCAATCCATACAAAGTTCAGAAACCAATGTAACCAACTGATTCCAAAGAATATCAGGATCAATTTCTGCGCGAAGACCATCCTCAGTGGCACCTTTAAACTGGACACTAATCTGAAAAAAAACTTAATGATGTGTTATCATATTAAAGAAACTGATAGCGCTTGTGTCAAAACAACGATTTTGTTGACAGTATGCTTGAAAGATCAGTTGTATTAGTTAACCACTGAAAGCAAAGGAAAAGTTCGCCATTCTCACTAGATCCAGTTAATTTCATTTCTTATACTGAAATAATAAAATTTCACGAAGGACTAAACATGACGCTGAGTTGGGAAAAGAGCCAAACTTCAAAGCTTTAAATTTAAATATTTCGGTACTTCAATAAGAACTGTTACACTTCAAAAGAATATACAGCTTCCTCTTACTGATTCTTTGGAATAGCTAACGAGTCGGCAACGTGAATCGTACAGGCAAGCCTTAATTGCTGTCGTTCCAATATCAATCGCAATAATGTCCGTTCCTCTTTTTTCGCCGTAATCTCCTGACTCAAGCATTTACCTGCTAACGACACTTATTACGCTTATAGTTTTCCTATCATTTACCAATTAGCGTGATGAGTAATACGATGATAATAAAAGTATCAGGATTTCAGGGTCGTATTTCAGAGATGCTTTTCCTTTTAAGCCAATATTTGCAAAAAATAAAGCAAGATAGTTGATTAGATCCAAAATCATGTCTACCGTTTGTTATGCTTCAATTCTTACTCATTCTATCTTTCTTGGTCTAGAATTTCCCCCATCAACCAACAAACAATTTAATAAGTGTAAGGAAGAAATATAGGTGCTGGTATATCTTCCTGGAACCTGTTATAATAAGTAAAGTTAAAGGAAGAAATAGAAGGTTAGTATTGTTCGGAAGAATGACACACTCTGCGACATTGCCATGAACATAGGCGAACTGTTCCACAGTCTGAACAAATTGCAGTTGACGACAGAACGGCGTGATGAATGTGTCGTCCTTCTTATCAACATTATATGACAGCAACCGGCCTATCTCCCTATGATGACATAGTAACAAACTCACCTGTTCCCTTCGATTCATCATCCTCTTTCATAAAACCTTATCCACTCTGATAAAGTACTCATCAAAAATATCCAAATATATTGAAATCTTCCTGCCTCTATTTTCAAAACCTTTCGATAGTTTTAAATGGTCTCAACGCAAATATAAAATTCTGAACCGCAAGGAACACACCTAACGATGACGTGGCTTGTGAATTACATGCAATGCAGGTTGCAGTGCGGCTCGCGACAGACTGACTGACTGATGACGACATCTAAAGGGATACGTGTTTGACATGACTGTCCACGCGATCGAAGTGCATAGAAGAGAAATGCATTGTTGTGCTGTTGTTAAAACTTAGCTGCTTAGAACTGTCAGTTCTTTTAGTCCTCACTTTTTTTTTTTTGCAGTTAAGTTCAAATTCTATAAAAAATCTTAATTTACAAGTGTTGTATAACACTGCGATAGCGAAATTCATATTCCAGATTATAATCTCATTTCCGATCAGTTTCATTTTTACCTATAATCATTCTATGTACAGGTCATTATTGCCTTACGTGCTCCACTTCTAATCGCAAAATGCGTCAAAAAAATAAAAAATCATTTTTAATCACTTCACTTGAACTGTCTTTGAAGAATACACCTAAGTTTAAATTTTATTTGGAACAGATGAAGATGAAATTCCTAATACAATTAGGACAATAAAACGTATCGTTTAAATGTTGCGCTCATTGATTCAAGGTCATCTCTGGGTTTAATACTGTCTCATATCGCACACACACCTGCAGCAAACACAAATAGTATGTGTCACATACATATAATAAATATCAGGTGAATATGCATGCATGCATCTACAAAAAGAATCATAAATTCAAAACGATGGCATCATTTGCCATTGAACTGAATCGAACTCTATCATAGTATTGCTTACAATAATTTCTGACAATTGCCAGCGTTCGAAATTGTTTTAAACTCAGTGACCTGCCGAAAATTTTTTTCTTTTCGTCAAAAATTTTAGCAACTGAAAAAATTAGCAAAGATCTAAATTACCGTTTGGAAAATTTTAATTGATATAAATTTAATTTATTTTGTGATAGCCTTGATATTACCTTTTATTGCTTCTAGTTCATACTTCTGATGGATCATATTCAATGATGACAAATGGATTTTTGAGGTATACTTCTAACAATACTGACAATACCGATTATAGTAGCACTGATATTGGATGCTATCATCTGATTTGATTGGTATGCATAATTTTATTTAAAACTAAGGTGCTATGTGGAATAAACACAATACTTGTTATTACTCATCTGACCGTTTTTCGTGAATGTTATTTCAGCTTCAGCAATTTCTATTCTTTGTTTTCCTTTCTTTTACTTTTTTCCTTCTTTCTATATCAAAGACATCTTCATTTGTCTTTTCTACCGAAATTATGGATAGCATTTCAGCTCTGAACTTAATCTTTGATATTCTCAACCTTATCAACTTCCTATTACTTGACGATCGAGAGTAAACAGCACAATATATTGAAGAAATCTAAAGTTCTGATAATTTGATTTGAGCTTAAGTAAGATAGATCTATCTATACTATGTCAACATCGGAAAGACCACTTGTGCTTACAAGAAGCGCTACCCATCAACAACAACGGCTATCTACGGAGCTAGCAATTACAACAAGTTCAGGTCAGTAATATGTTCTGTTTATTACAATGATATTTCTGTTTACATTCTGAATACAAACTCCATTTCGCAAGTTATTTCAGTAAATAAAATCAGTAAATAAAAATATTGGCTTTAAAAGTAGACTCCATGTATCAGTGAAATATTTGAAGATTAGAATTCAGTAATTCGTGCATTCATACACAGTTCCACTGATCCTGATGTTATTACAAATTATATTCAAGTGAAACTATCTTTAGGAACACGTTCCGCTAGTTTGAAATATACTAAAACTTGGCATAGAAATCTTTTTTAGAATTTCACATTTAAAATGACAATTTTGAAATCGAAGCTTTCTATTTCATTGAAAAAGCATTTTTTTGCGAGAATTGATTTCTACATCAAATCTTCAGGGTCATTACCATCATCAACGCATGCAATAACAGTAACAACTAAATCTACTTCAGTCACATTTCAGAAACCTTTCAGCAACTTCATTGATATCATTGTCGCCGCTTTCACCGTTAGTTCTAATTTTATTATAAATTGAATCTTAATTGCTCTAAATGTGGAAAGTTTTAGTAATATTGTTGTTGAGCTAAATTTTTTAAAACAGTCACATCTCTATTCTTTTCGAGTACAAATTTTTTTATTTCTCCGTGTTGTTAGTTTTTAGGAATTAAAAAATTTGTGTAAAAACACTAATATTGTAAAGTTGTCGGTAGTTGCTGAAAAAACACTTAAAATCTGTTAAAAAATATGTACTAATTGCAAAACCCCCAAAAAATATTATACCATTAAAACTTCTTTCGACTTTTCCAGTAGAATTTCTAAAATCTTTGTTTGATGGCACTTTGATAAGCACTAGAAAATTTTTAGCATAAATTTATGCCAGTTCTTCTCAGCCTTCCTACAGAAGCTACTTCTGATCTTATCAAAATGAATTTGTGTTCTCGAAGTGCAAGTCTGCTATTTCAATGAATAGAAAACTGGAAAAAAAAAACTAATCAGAAAAACAGCAACACAGATCAAATAAGGAAGAAATGAAGCAATATTTATAGCCTATTGCTATTTCGCTTTTCCATTGTTATGGATAATTAAACTTCTTTACACGAAATTAATTTAAAATTATAAAATATGTCAAATGAGGTTGGCGAATTTCAGAATATTTTCTTGCTTGCTCTAGTAAGACTTGTCCTTACTTCGTTGTCTTTAGAATATTTGCTGTTAAAATTAACAGCAAATATTTCTTATATTCATCAGTAAGAGTCACTCTACCAACATTCGACGATCTCGACCTTACTGAAAGCAAAGTCACTCGTCACTTCACGTCCGATTACGTCAGTCTTTTTTGAGTTGCCTATCATTTGCAATTAAGTTGCTGATTGAAAGCAAAAAATGCTTGCGAAACATATATAACATATTCCAATAAACTTCACATAGTCTTTTTTCAAATCATGAGACAAAGTGGTCAAGTGAAGAAAAAGAAGATTAAACGAAACAGTGAATAACAATAAAATAAATCACATTAGGAAAGAAGGTCTGTTCAATCATTCCATTTGGATTTGCATCAAGTTATATTGATAAGTTTGATATCGAAACTACGATCTTGTTGAATATAAACAAAAGTATAAGTACAGAAAAAATTATCACCTGGTTTTTTTGTTCTTTCTTAATAAAGTTTCCTTTAAACCAGAAAATATGTTGACACCAAAGCCCTCTTCTTTGCATTTAGTTAGATGAAGGAAAATTATATCCTTATACTGCCATTATTCACTTTTTCGAGATGATTGCAGTTTTCACCACCTTCATCTTACACTTCTTTCTACTCATTCGATTTGTATTTTAGCTTACAGTTTACTGTAACTATAACTTTGGTATAATAGAACTGTCATTTCTTGACGCTTCCTAAAAGCATTTTCTCAAATTTTTTTCTATTTTTCCCTGTTCACCTGAACATCTCATTTTCTCATAATGAGAAAGATGTGGTGACATTTAGGGAATATGCAAAAGATCAACAAATCAATTTTCAACTCCATTAATCTGCAGTGGCTGTCTGCCATTGGTAAGCGTATTCTCTAATTATCAACGAAAGTTGCTCTAAACTGGATATGAAGTTTCTGAATTTAGAAAAAAAGGAAACACATGCCTTCATCTTCCTGCCACTATTCTCGTTGTGGAAATGAATTAGATTTAGTTCGCAAAAAGTAATTTGGTCGAACGAAGAAATGTATTTTCGAAGAAATGTTGCCGGTCATTTTATAGACCACTTTATTTTTTCAAACCTTAACTATTAATTATTAATAATCATAATTGCATTTCCGAATCAGTTCTTCCTACTGAATAGGCCAATCTTTTGCCTATTTATTGAACATTTTGAGAAAAATTATTAAATTTTTTTAGTCCTGCTCGAGCTTATTGCTTTTAACGAAAAATTTATTTATAATCAGATAATAATACGAGTGAGTCGAAGAAGCAAGAACATTAATTTGAACTGGTGAGCTTTGATAACTGTAGTAACGAATGACTGTAATAACCTTCACTGCAATTGTTGACACCCTCACTGTCAACAACATTATCAGTGTGTAATTGCCGATTACACTTCTGACTCTACAGCAGTAAGCTAGTCTACCAAGAGATTACTATAATATCTTGTTTTACTTTCATGTTGTTTGAGAATTTAAAGGAACTAATTAGTAAGCGTGTTGTGCCTTCCATTTGGAGACAATTAATCGTGATCACTTTTTGCAATTTCTTGCTTACGAATCACTTCCTTTCTGTTTTTAAAGACAAAAATAAATCACCATTTAGTCCAGGAACTGGAGCATTG